TTGGCAAACACTCTCAGAGCGACACAGAACCCAGTTCCCCAACAGGAAGCAGGGCGGAGGTGACTCAGGGCCCCAAACACCCTACAGACAGGTGGACACTGGGTGGGGCCCTGATGAGCATCAATTCACCAAAACACAAACTTATTTACACCAAAGCCTCCGTAAGGTAGCTAGGCGGGGTCCCGGGAGGTAGAGGCAGGGAGGACCAGGAGCAGAAGGTCAAAGAGAACCTGAGGTCAGCCTGGGCTAGAGGGACCCAAGTCAAACAAACAGAGCAAGGCCAGGAGAGGAGCAAGAGCTGCCCCTGAGGAGGACCAGGGTCCGTTCCCAGCACCCACAGGGGCTCACAACCGCCTGTGACTCCAGCTCTGGGGACCCGACGCCCCCTTCCAGCCTCCACAGGTACTACACACTCATGGTGCACACAGATGTGCAGACAAAATGCCCATAAACGTAAAAATAAAATATTTTTTAATTAAATTTAAATAAACCCAACAGGCAAAGGTGTAACCAAATAGGACCAAGGATTTCTGGACACTGCAAAAGCAGGGCTTTGTGGGTCTCGAGCTGCCTTCCCCTTGTCGGGGCTCAGCGCCTGCCTGGAGACCAAGCCAGCTCTGACACGGGAGGGGGGGGGGCAGAACCAGGACTCCTGAGGAGCAGCTCCAGGCTAGACCTCTTGCTGGAGCAGTAGAGGGCATGGGGGCCCTCAGAGGGGGCTGAGTGGTAGCAGCTCACCAGTGCTGCCGAGCGCTTCAGCCTTGGAGCAGGAAATGCCCAGGTGCCTGTGGGCCCAGTTAGCTACCTCCCCATAGAGTGGGGGTGGGGGCGTGAGGGGTAGGGGTGGTCTGTGGTGAGCAGCCAGGGAAAGGGGTGTGGGCAGAGAGAAAACACATCCGTGGGGGGAGTTGGGGAGAAGGGCAGGGAGGAGGGAGCAGAAGAGCAGACCCCATCCTGGAGGGAAGGAGAACCCCATCCTGGGGAGAGGAGACCCCAATCTGGGGAGGAGGAGGAGACCCCAATCTGGGGAGGAGAATGGGGAGAGGAGGCCCCAATCAGTGGAGGAGGAGGGGGAGAGGAGACCCCAATCTGGTGAGGAGAATGGGGAGAGGAGACCCCAATCTGGGGAGGAGGAGGAGACCCTAGTCCGAGGAGGAGGGAAGAGGTCAGCCCCGCAACCCTGCTCACAGCCTGGTCTCCGCGCCGGGGGTCGCCTCCAGGCCGCCGTCAGGGTCGTCCAGAGCCACCATGGCCTGCAGCCGCGATTGCAGCCCGGCCCGAGGCCGCGGAGGAAGTGACGCGCGGGGAGGAGTCTGCAGCGGCCCGGGGCGGGGACAACCCGGGAACAACCTCGGCTGCAATGGGGTAGCTGTGGGAGTAGACCCCCTGCCTCGGTTTCCCTCTCCGTAGACACTGGGCGGCGTCACCCGCCGGGCTGAAGACCGAGTCTGGGCTAGGGTGGGACGCTCCCCCGGGAGGCGACTGCAAAGCTGCGACCGGCTCCTGGGACGGGAGGGAGTGCCAGCCTGGTGGAGCGAGTGGAGGGAGGTCGACCGTGGTGCACGCCCCGGCACTCCGGAGGCTGAGGCCGGAGGATCATTAGAGTGCCAGCCTGGGCTACAGGATTGGAGTGGGGGGAGGGCAGGTGCACGCCTGGCCTCCCAGCACTTATTACAAGAGGCAAGAAGATAGGTGTTTAAACGTCATCATCAAGTTCAGGGCCAGCCTGGGCTACGTGAAAAGGCTCACGCCTTTGATCCCTTAAAAAATATTAAAAATAAATTAATTAAAACAAAAGTCAGTGTCTACTCCGAGGCTTCGTGGAGACAGGTGAAGCGAGGCCTGTGCGCAGGAACCGGGTCAGAGGGAAGCGAGGGCCGGGGGCTGTGGGGGACTTGGATTCCTGGCGTCACACCTGAGTGCTCTGTGGGTGGACAGAGAAGGGGTTCTTTCTGCTGCCTACTCCCAACACCCTTCAGGATTCCCGGGGCGGCTTCCTATTTGCTGACCCTCTCCCCTTGAGCCCCCCCTCAGTGTGGGTGAACCTTACCCACACTAGATAAAAACACTACCACCGAGTTACACCTTCGTTTTATTTTTCTCTGCTGCATAGTATTCTGGTGACTTGCCAAGGATAACATCTCGGGGTCCCTAGGGAGCTTCTGAGATGCACAAACAGGGGTGTGACGGTGTGGCTGAGGTCAGTCCCTCACGGTTCCTGTGACCGTTTCCACAGCGCCCACTCCGGACAGGGACCGGCCGCTGGGTGCCAGTTAGAGGGGAAACTTGTAACCAACAATCGGAGTCAACCAAAGGGAACCGAAGGTCCCTCCCCTGTCCTAAGCTTCACGTGGCTCCCACTGTCCCGGGGACGTACTCCCGGCATCCTCCCCTAGGGCGCGGGCCACCCGCCTGCAGCCCTGACTGAAGCTGGGCCCTGCCTGCGAGGAAGGGAGGACCACGGACCCCTCCCCTGCTTGGTGCCCAGGGCCCTCCCTCCTCTCTCATCCGGGCACAGCTCTGGGAAGAGCAGCGCGAGGCTCTGGAGAGGCTACTGCGCAGGGAGACGCGAAGGCGGGGACAAGGGAGGGGGGCGCGGGGTATAAGGGTGGCCGCTGCGACTGACAGACGCTGGCAGAGGAGCCACGTTCCAGCCCCCTCTGCCGGCAGCCGAGCCCGGGGCGCTGACATCCCGGGAAGGTGGCCATAAGGAGGCGGAGTAGGGACCTTCCTCTGTTCCCACAGTCCCGGGGCGCAATCCGCGAAGGCTGCCTGGAGGAGGAAGGCGACAGGGCCATGGCCACCGAGGCGACCTTGGGTCCCAACGCGACCTGGTGGGCTCCAACCAACGCGTCGGGATGCCCGGGCTGCGGTGCCAATGCCTCGGACGGCTTGGGCTCCGCGCCCAGGCCACTGGATGCCTGGCTGGTTCCCTTGTTCTTCGCTGCGCTCATGTTGCTCGGGCTGGTCGGGAACTCGCTGGTCATCTACGTCATCTGCCGCCACAAGCACATGCGGACAGTGACCAACTTTTACATCGGTGAGTGCGCGCCTCCCTGGGGTGCCAAGGTGGGAGCGGGGTCCACCCCCCAGCCTCCCCTGCGATGCGTCCCGCCTGGGTACCAAAGGGTGGGTTGACGACTACGCGAGGAGACGTGACCATTTCCACAGGTGTCTGTCATGTAAGGGCCTCTGGACAGAAGGGGACCGGTGTGGGGTGTGTGTGTGTGTGTGTGTGTGTGTGACACGCCCAAGCTGGTACCCGCTGTCTCCAAT